ACCTTTTAATTTTCAGGGGTCAGACGCCAGCACAAGCTGAAACCAATTATCTGAATAAAGCCAAGTGGCTAGAAATGTATGGAGTTGATATGCATGTAGTTAAGGTATGCACTGTGTTATTGTATCTTTTAAAGAATTCATTTCTTTGGAATTTTTTGATTTGTTCTAATAGTTTTTGTAAACAGGATATGATGTCTGCATCTTGTATAATGAATAAACACTAAGCAGTATGCAATGTATTAATTATTGAAACTGTCCTACTAATCGGACTTGAAACTGTCTCATTGTTATTTCTTTCTCAATAAAAGTATAGAAAACCAAAAAAAAAGGAATTTTTTGTACCTGAATTACATAATATGATGGAGGCCATGGAGTTGCATAGGCTAGCACTGGGTACTTTGTGTGATAAAAAGGCCTAGATTAAATACTGAATTACAAGAATAGAAAATTTCATTATTAGAAAAGAAATTACCATAAATTGCAAAATACATAGGTATTTCTAAGTTATTTGTTTTAACTGTGAGAAGTGTGTCTTTGTTTTGTTTCGTTTTAGCTTTTTGACCATAGTGTGTGTGCACATGGTGCTGGGAATCAAATCAAGGACCTTGTACATGCCATGCGAGTGCTCTACTGAGCCATTTCTGGTCCTTAAAACCACTTTTAACCTTTTCCACTTTATCTTATGTCAGCTCACCATTCACCAGGTCTGTTAAGATAGTTCACAAAGCAAATTGAAAATTTAAATCTTGAGGGCACTTTGATAATAGTAAAATAGCTTGGGCAGTGATCCACTTCTAGCCTAACGAATAACATATTTCCAAGAAAGCAGTCATTTCTTTGATTTTTGATTTAAATGGTAAATTAAATATGAGATGAATCTGAACAGAGGTTTTTTTGTTTTGTTTTTTAATGTATTTAGTACAGAGTCTAATTACGCGGCTCAGACTCATGTACCACCACACCCAGTCAATGGCCAATTCTGTACGCCTGAGGCAGGGCCAGTGCAGTATGTGGTGCTGGGGATCGAACTCGGTCCCTGTGGTTGCCTAAGTAGGCGCTTGTCTGCTAAGCTATCTCGCCAGCCCATTGAGATTTCTTTATAATGGGAGTTTATCTACCCTCTTCTCTTGAAAATCATTATTATACCTACACCTTATAATTGTAGTAGTACTCCTGTATCTGTGGGTTTGCTCTTTGTTGTTTTAGTTACAGTCAGCCCAAGTCTAGGAGTATTCAATTTCAGAAATAATAAGCCATTTCGAGAAAGACTATATTCATATTATAGTATATTGTTAACATTGTTCTATTTTATTACTTTTTACTGTGCCTAAATTATAAATTACACTTTATCATAGGTATACATGCATAGGAAAAATTAGAGTATCTGTAGGCTTAGGTACTGCCCCTAATTTCAGGCATCCCTTGGGGTTTGGAATTGATTCCATCATGGGTAGGAGAGACCACTGTATGGGATGTCAGTTACTTTAGAAAAAAAAGATATTCATGAATTTTCTGAAGAATATGAGTTTGGATACCTTAATTGTTGAAAATATCTATATATTAGCTTGTATATAATAAGTGTCAAAATTAAACAGTTGTATAATGATGTAAGAGCTGATTGATGCAAATTAAACTAACATCTTTTCTCTCCTTAAATTAGGCTAGAGATGGGAATGACTATAGTTTAGGACTAACTCCAACAGGAGTCCTTGTTTTTGAAGGCGAGACCAAAATTGGCTTATTTTTTTGGTAAGCAGAATCAATGTCAGGGACACTTAACTGTTATTTTGTTTCATATTGAGTTACCGTATAAAAGACATTTGGAATTCAAATAGTTCTGAAAAGCTTTTATATGAAAAGCAACTGCTCTTGTCATACACTCATTCTTTTTGTTTCTTCTCCCCAGAGGTAATATATAACATTTTTCTGTGTTTTCCATTAGTTTCAAGGTATATCAAATTATCTTTTTTTTTTTTTTTTTTTTCAAAACCAGGCATTCAACTCAGACCCTTGTGCTTGCCAGGGAAGTGCTATTCCACTGAGCCATCTCCCTGGCCTCAAATTATCTCTTAATATTTTACATTTTTTATATTTTTGTTTTGTTTGTTTATTTATTTATTTGGTATGGGGTCTTGTTATGCAGCCCAGACTTGTAATGAGCCTCCTATTCTCAGCCTTCCCAGCGCTGGGATTACAGGAGTACGCCACATGCCCAGTTTTGGTAGCCAGCGCGGCATGCCTGGGGTTCCAGGGCCAGCATGGCATGCGGTACTGGGGATTAAACCTGGGTCCTTGCACTTGCCAGGCAGGTGCTCAGACCACTGAACTATCTTCTTCAGCCCCTTGTTTTTTACAGTAGTGGAAATGAACCCCAGAAGCTTTCGTATTGAATCACTTCTCCCAGTTATTTTTGTTGCTTGAGAAAGGGTCTTACTGAGTTGCCCAGGCTGGGTTGAACATGCAGTCCTCTGGCCTCAGCCTCCCAGATTGCTGGGATTATCGATATGTACCACTGTACCCAAATACGTTTCTGTTTTTATTAAGTGTTATTAACATGGACTCCTCCCTTTGTGTGGTTGTGTTACTATTTTTACTATTTCTTTTTCCATAGATACAGTACTCTCTTTGTCCACTCTTGTGTAAGCAGGGGGATGTTAGATCTTGTTTTGTTTTTTTAATTCTAAAAAGCTTGAATCAGAATATAGTATTTACATTATGTTTGTGTAGAGCTTAGGGAAGTGTACCAGTGTTAACACACATAATCCAGAATGGCCTCTGTCGCTCTGGCCTTATGTAGAAGTCCGGATGGTTATCTCAGAGCCCTCCTGCCCTCACTCGAATTCACTTCCCTGGAGGGACTCTTGATAGATTTGAGGGAAACACCTTTCTGTTTGCTCCTAGATGAATGAAGAAGTGAGGATTTATCTCTTCAGACTTTGGATGGTAATTCTCTGGCCCATCCATGCTACCCTTAGGCGGATGAAAATGCTGCGTGCCCATAGAACGTTTTAGGTAGAGGAAAGTACATCCTCATGAGATTGGTGTGAGAACTGAAGACTAGTCAATGTAGTGAAAATCACAGTGCTTTTAGATTCATAGTTCATAGAAGTAGAGTTCAAATGTAGCCAGTGGTTTAGAATTTTTCTAGTAGGTGGAATGGTAGAAATGGAAAGTGAGCATGAAGAGAATTACTGGAATTTTTTGTTTTTAAATTTTAAGATTCATTTCCTGAGTGGGGTGTGGCATGCCAGTTTTCCCTGACTCTGAATACCTTACACCCACAATGTAAAGGAAGAGAAGCTTAATTTGTTTTGTAGTTTCAAGGAATTCAGTCCTTGGTCTGCTGGCTCCGAAGCAGAAACATTATTGAAGGTATGGCAGTGGGATAGTGCTTACCTCATGGTGACTTGAGAGCAGAGAGGGGGACAGTGCAAGAAAGGAGGATGAGGGACCATACTATAGAATGAGGCTTGAAAGTATAGTCTGGGGTGCGACACCATATGAGACCAAGGACAGGCTGCAAACATCATGGTGCAAGAACATGACACAGTAAAGATGCTCAGGTCATACCACTGTGACCCACCCACACGCGTCCAGAAGGTTGTGTACTAATTATTCTGGCAGCTCTCAAGCCAGTGAAGTTGATATTTTAGCTTAATTGTCGCACTCCTATAATCACGGCCACTGAGCAGGATCAGGTGGTAGGACTGTTGAGTTCGAGTACAACCTTTACACATTAGCAAGACTTACATTAGGATTGCCATAGAAAATAGAATGGAAGACCCTAGTAGGTAATGTTTTTCTTTATACTTAAAAAAAAAGCTTTATGGTCTTTTAGTTCCTGTAGTGCTCCTTTAACACTGAAAGTTTTACCCAGGTTTGGGGAATTTCTTAAGAGGGATTTATGAAATATATAGATTTTTTTTTTTTTTTTTTTTTTTTTTTTTTTTTTTTTTTTTTTTTTTTTGCATTTTAGGGAAGGGTTTACAGGGTGTTCAGGGTTTCACTACTAGATCGGACTTATAGTGATCCGCCTGTTTACAGCTTCCCAAGAGCTGGGATTACAGGTGTGTGCCATCACGCCCAGTCTCAGTTGCTGTCTCAGTGTACCCTGAGGGTGGGGCCAGCAAGGTAGGCCCAGGGATCAAATCCTCAGTGCCTGAGCCTGCTTGCAGGCGCTTTAATCCACTGAACTCTTTGGCCAGCCCTTCATATTCTTTTTTCCATTGATATTGTTAATGTCTGATATATGAGCAACATCAGTTTTGTGACAGGTTATGTTTAACCTCTTATCAGTATTCCTTTCAGAAGTTTAATGATTAAGTATACTTAGAAGAAAAAACATTTCTAACCTGGCTGTTGGATCTCATTATTATAGGCCAAAGATAACCAGATTGGATTTTAAGAAGAATAAATTAACCCTAGTGGTGGTAGAAGATGATGAACAGGTAGGAATTATAATTGCATTTACGTACTTAATAATTTACTTACATTCTGTGTAATGTGGTGACACATGGGAACTATATCTCAGTGTGTGAAAAAGAACATAGTGCAGAATCCTCGTAGTTAATTGTGGTCATTTCCGATTCAGTTCACACCATCCTTAAAATATAACTTTCTGGCAATAAAGATTTAAAATAATACAGAAGTTTTTGTTTCTTCACTAATAATATATTTCAGGTTGGAAGAAGTTGCATTCATGTGACTTTATCCTTTTATTTGATCAAAAAGGTTAATCAGAAAGATCTACCTAAGGGCTGGGGAGATGGCTTAGGCACAAGGGCCTGAGTTCAATCCCTGGTTCCGCCAAAAACAAACTAAACCGGAAAGATCTACCTAATATTTAATAAAGCATTTTGAACTAAGGATTTCTTTTTTTGTTTTTGTCAGTTAAGATTCGTTTTCTAATTTGATACACATACAGAAGCATCTCAGATGCACTGTGCCAGGTAAAAAGCCAGACTTGAAGGATTATATGCTATTTGGGAAAGGCAAGCCCGTGGGAATAGAGAACAAATCAAGATTTCTACTTCAAATTTGGAATTTGACTACAAAGGAACAGTCAGGAGCATTTTTGGGAATGAGAGAACACCTATTCTGTAACCTGATTTTGTTGGACTCTATAACTCACAGAATTATATGCCTAAAATCTTAATGCATGCAAATTAATAAACTTTAAGATGTAGGATGTAAGAATATGGTTGCATTAGACAATATATTAGCAGTTGTTGAATATACACATTGTTTATAGTTGTTAATTTTTCTGTACATGTAATTTTTTGTTTTGTTTTTTTTGTGGTACCAGGGATCAAACTCAGGACCCTGTGCACTTGCCAGGCAGGCGCTTACACCACTGAGCTATATCCCAGACTTCCAATATTTTTGCAATAAAATTTTGTAGTGATTGGAAGTTATTTTTCACTTTCTGAGGTAATTTCAGTATTTCCTCCCATTTTTAAATGACCTCCTCTATTTTTTCTAGCTTTTATTATATAGGCATATATTCTGAACATATAATTCACAGAATTATATGTCTAAAATCTTACTGTATGCAAATTAATAAACTTTAAGACACAGATATACAGTGCCTGCTTAGACGCTCAGGGACCAGGGTTCAATCGGGGTGTGTCATACCAACCCCACCCCCAGGGTGTGCTGAGACAGCCATTGAGATTGGGCATGGTGGCGCGCCTGTAATCCCAGTGCTTGGGAGTCTGAAAAACAGAAAAGATCACTGCAAGACCTATCTGTGAAGTGAGACCCTGTAGACCCTGTACTAAATACACATAAAAAAGAAGACATGGATATAAAGATAGGGATAAAATCTATCCTTATATCTTCATTTATAGTTTATAATTCATTTTTTCCTCTATTATTAGAAGTAATGCATTTTGTCTGTACCAGTGTGAAGTCTCATAAGCACTAGGTGAAAGTTAAAAGTGTATGAATTATGCTGAACCATTGGCAATATTGGATTTAATTTTTTAAAATTTTGCTCAAAGTGTAATCTTACTATTTTAAATTTGATTTTCTTTTAGTAGTTACAGATGTTGGCTTTTGATCTTGTTTTCTTTTTACTGATAATTTTTCTGTTAATTTTCTTATCTATAGATAGCATAAAAATACAATATAACAATATCATTGTAAATTCCACAAATATGAATTAGCAAGAGGCTGAGACCAGGTGTTTCTGTATGACATGATAGTAGCGTTCTGATGATGTTCTCTTCTGTGGTTATTGTGGGTATAAGTTAGGCTAATCATATGTAATAACTGAGAAAAAGAAAAAAAATACAGCACAGTTAAAATCTCCTATATGCTCAGGTAGTTATTTTTTTCCTTTCAGAGTTTTGATGCTGATAATAAGGTCATTTTTTTCCCTAATAAGAAAACCTCTTGGAAAATTATCTTTGAATTTATGTATAAAACTTTAGTAGATTTGGTCAGCGTTGGTAAAAATTTTGTTTTTTATTATTTTTTTAATTAGTACAGGTTCTACAGGGTCTCATTACACAGATTGAAAAAGTCTCCCAAGCACTGGGATTACAGGTGTGCATCACCACACCCACTCTCATTAGCCATCTCAGCACACCCCGAGGCTGGGCTGGCACAGTATGCCGGGGATCGAACCCCAGTCCCTGCATCTGCCTAAGTAGGCGCTTTAATCTGCTGAGCTATCTGGCCGGCCCTAGTAAACATTTTACAAAGCATTAGTTTTATCAGAACCTTAGTTGTCTCGGGTCTCTGCTTCATCACAGAAAGTTCTGCGATTCAGTGTATGTGGGCATTCTGTTTTGACTTTAACTTGTTCAGATATGACATAAGGAAACCAGATGCTTGTATCCTGAACAAGACTGAGGGAAGTGTATTTTTTTAACTTATTGGAATCAGTAGAGATAGTCCATGTTCTCAAGGAATTTGAATACAGTAAGAATATCCAGTTAGTGAAGAATAAATATATTGTTTTCATGCACTAAGATGCTGTGTAGCCGAAAAGTGTTTATTAACATGGAAAAACACTTCATGTTAAAGCAAGTAAATTTTGAATGTAACAGTTTTTATGCCTCGCCTTTTTTTTTTTTTTTTTTTTTTTTTTCAGTACCAGTGATTGAACTCAGGACCCTGCGCTTGGCAGGCAAGTGCTTGTTCTACTGAGCTATTTCCCTGGCACCTCGACTTTTTTTTTTCTAACACAATAGTTTCTATAGAGAAAAGTTTACATATATTTCAAACTTCTTAGGTGTGTTAACTGCAAAGGGATAATAACTTTGGATGGTTTTAATTTTTTACTTGTTTTCCTGGACATGTATTTTTTATATGTGTACAACACATAATAGTACTAAGTATGTATTTATTAGGGGGCAGATGCCAAAGAATAGGGAGATAAAGGGATCCTAGTACTGACTTACTAGGTGCTGTTTTTAATTTGTGGTTTGCTTAGGTCTTAATGTACAGAATTGTTTTTAATTCCTTTGTGAAGGTGAAGGTGTGACTATCATAGAGTTTTATCTTGTAAAAGCTCGTGTATTTGTAGCCTAGTGTGGTGGTACGCGCCTGTAACCCTAGCATCAGGAGGTTAAGGCAGGAGGATCACTGTGAGTTCAAGGCCAGCCTGTATTACACAGTGAGACGCTGTTTCCAAGACAACCATATACTCCTGTATTTCTGACTCATTGCAGGATAAAAAGGAACAATGATTATTTTTATCTCTGTTCTCAAAGAGATCATTAACATTAAGCCTCAATTTCAAAATCAAAGTATATTATAAAGAATGTATAATTTTACTGTTTTTCTTCAATTCAGTAGTCATATTTTAATGATCAAGAGTGTCAGCTGTGTAGTATTTTTTTGTTTAGCCTAAAAACTGCACACCTGAATTAGCTAATATTCTTGCATAGATTTCATTTTATTTAGTACATTTAATAATTGAAAATATGAAAAATTATGCAGGGCAAATTGTCTCCAGTCTCCTCCTGTGTAATGCGCTCAGTATTACTTATTTTATCAATTTTAAGTCACATTGTTTAAAAAACATTGTAACACCTCTGAAAATATTGGGATACATCTTACAGTAGGGTTTGCCTTAAAAGTTGGTTTTTTGGTTTTTGGGTTTTTTTTTTGTTTTGTTTTGTTTTTTGTTTTTTTGTATTTAGTACAAGGTCTTCAGGGACTCACTACACAGATTGGACTTGCAGCGATCCTCCTGTTTTCAGCTTCCCATGTGCTGGGATTACAGGTGCGCCACCACGCCCAGCCTCAGTTGCCTTATCAGCCACCCCAAACTTCCGACCCCTGTGGCTACCTAAGCAAGCACTCAGTCCTTGCCTTAAAAGTTTTGTCAAGAAGGCAATAATTGTCACATAATTATCTTTGCCCTTCTGTGTGGGAATTTAGCAAATTCAATGAGATTGTATTCACTGTTAGTACTACAGGTGTTAATTTCAGTTTCTGCTTAAAATGGGTTATAAGTAAGGCTCTGTGACTTATTGAAATCAGTTACTGTGAATGCAGAAAAATCCTTCCAACAGATTTGTGGGAAGTAAATTTGTTGCCCCTGTTGAAGTAATTAATGTTTTTGGAGATTGACTTGTTTTATGTTTTTCTGTATTTGCTTTTGCCAAGTTGCAACCTCATTTGCTCATCACAGTATTTGGTCTTACTCACTTTACCCTGCATTCCAAACTATTTAATCAGAAAAGCTCATCTCCAGGATTCATTCGTAAATGAAATATATACTACCCCTTTTTAGCCAAATCTAAAAAAGAGGATTCTAAAAGTAAATGAAACAGGTGATAAGTTTTGTAAGTTTGAAGTCTTACCATTGAGATATATGCACAGGTTGACCTGGTCATATAGATTGAAAGGAAAGCAGTGATGGAATATTTTTAAAAGTCTCTTGCTAGCAGAGAGGCTAGTCATATCATTAACAAACGAGTTAAATGATTCAGAAGAGTCAGGGTTTTTTTGTTTTGTTTTGTTTTGTATTTGTATTTTAGGGAAGGGTCTACCAGGTGTTCAGGGTCTCACTACTAGATCCAACTCAGTGATCTGTTTACAGCCTCCCAAGAGCTGGAATTACAGGTGTGTCATACCACACCCAATCTCAATTGCTATCTCAGCACCCCCGGGGCAGGTCCCAGAGATCGCACCCCTCGCCCCTGTACCTGCTTGCGCACGCTTTAATCCGCTGAGCTATTTGGCTGGCCCAAGAGGCAGATTTTTAATGTGACAATAATTAGGTTATTTTAGTAATCTAAAATTAAAAATGATCTTTTAAGAATAAAATCCTGGGAGTGTGTGGGACAGCTTCCGGCTACCCTGCGCCAGCGGGACTGACTACTGGTCCCAGCCCAGGCACAGCGTGGGTGACACCCTCTTCCACGCCCTTGTGACCCCCCCACCACTCCGCAGCACCTCCCCCACCCCGCCCACAGAGTAGGAATTTCGG